ATATTTTGCTGCTCTGTTGTTTGATGCATACACATTTAGGATTCTTACGTCTTCCTCATGGACTGACCCTTTCATCATTACGTGTCCCTCTTTGGTATTTTCTTTGCTCTGAAATCTATTTTGATATTAGTATAGCCCCTTACAGTTTTCTTTTAATGTTTACCTGATATGCATCTTTCTATACTTCTTTCAGCTTGCCTTTATTATTAAGTGAAGTGACTTTCTTGTAGACAGTATACAGTCGGGTCACATTTCTTGATCCATTCTGCCAGCATTTCTTTTAATTAGCATAGATCGTTTATATTTAATGTAATTATTGATATGTTAGCAGGTAAGTCTCCCACTTTCCTTTTACCTTTGTTCTGTTTTCTGTGTTCTTTTTCATGCCTTATCCTGAGTCAGTTTTTGAGAATTCTCAACATTTTTGAGAATTTCATCTGTAATGATTTTGTGTATATATCTTTGTATATTTTTTTCAGTAGTTGGACTAGAAATTTCATTATGTATTCATAACATCACGGTCTACTATTGTCATTTTACTAGTTTGAAATGTAGAAAATCTATTTTCCTATAGGTTCCTTTACTCTTCCCTGTTTATAATTATTTTAAATATCTCCTCTTTATACATTTTGAACCACCTCAGGCAGTGTTGTAATTTTTGTTTCAACTATCAAATGTAATTCAGAAAACTCAAGATGAGAAGGAAATCCTACTTATCCACATTTTTGCTTACCATGGTTTTTTGGGTTTTTGATTTTTCCTTCCTAATGGTCCCACTTTCCTTCTATCATTATTTCCTTTCTGCTTAGGCAACTTCCTTTACTACCATTCAATTAAGGTAGGTCTGCTGGCAGTGGATTCTCTGCTCTCCCTGAACCCCTCCTATGCATCTGTTTGAGACCTAGTGGTAGCCCAACAAAACTATCAAAGTATAGATGTGGATGCTACTCCAAAAGTAGGGCCAGAACTAGTGACATTTTTCTTTTAGAACACAAAGGGCTGAGGAGAAAGGGCATTACAATTTATCAGTGAGATAACAAGGGTGGGAAAGGTTTGAAGAAATGATGGAGATGTCCTAAGTTTTGAGACTGCCATTTATGGGAGAGTTGTGATGCAGGAGGAGACGGAATTAAGCACAAAGAATTAAGGGTCAAGAGCAGAAGGCGGACAAAGACACAAAACTGCCCTTTTTCCTGAAGTGGTCCACAAAGGAATGTTCTTCCTTTTTCTCAACTGAATGCTTATCTGCTATCCTCTTCAAGTTCTAGCCTAAAATATAAATTTCAGGTTAGCAAACAGGTGAGAAGGAATCTTCCAGCCTGATAAACTCTTTAAAACTCATGTCAGCAAGCTTAGAAAGAAAATGTTGATGTGGTCATGCTATTTACAAGCCATGGCCATAGAAGCACCTTACATGACCACCACTCCCCTCCTGTTGACCCCCATTTCATAGAAAAGGCAGATGGGAGAGAAATAGCTTTTCTTATCCCTTAGATGAGCAATGAAAGGGTCTCCAATTTCTAATTTGTGCTTCTCCTTTAAGCAACCTGGTTCTTATAATCCCCTAGCACCCATCTCTCTGATCACTCCACCTTCTCTTTTTAGATGAGAAAAGAATAGGGACTGTTCAGGGTCATATTTTAAATGTCACATTTTCCATTTCAATGGCCAAAAAGCAATAAAGGAAAATGTTGACCTAAAGCTTGAAAATTTTCTAAGTGATTAGAAACTCTTTCCAGATCGAAGACATCCACAAGCTTAAGAAAAAGAATGAGCACATGATTTAGTTGGCTTTCTCTTTTAATCAAAAACATACTTTGTTACAGAGTTCTCAAGAAAGGTTCAACTATTTTTTAGCCATAGACTTTAACCAGGCAAAAGTATACAGAAAGCCATAAAGGAACTCCTGGGACTTTCAACTGACCAGTTGTCCCCAAAGCAGAAGTTAAGAATGGCTCTTCTCTGGTTTCTGGCATAACTGCATTCCTCTGAATTTAGGGGAGGAAACAGTTGGGGACTACGAACACCAAATCTGTCCCCAACCCCCCATTCACTTCTTCTAACTGGGCTCTGCAGCCCACCAGGTTTTCATCATCTATAAGCATTCACACTTTTCCCTTAAGTCACATGTCCAATGCATTGAACAGAGCCCAATACTTGAAGAAAGTTTGCCAACTCCATGTTTAGTCTTAATCAATCCAAGCCCATGAGTCCTTCTATCAATGACAAGCAGCCCTTGCAACAGCAGCTGGTTTCATCCCTTCTTTTCCAGCTACCACAAAGCTGGCCTCTACCAGGACTCCCCAACCCCCCACCCTCAACCCAGCCCCAAGGAAGGCCCCCAGGTCCTTGAAACTATTGAGTTCATTAATTATACTCATCCAAGGGTAGGCTAGAAGAGAGCTCTGAATGATCCAGCCAAAAGCCACTTAATTAAAATGGACCTAAAAAGAGCCATGAATAAAGTTAATAATTATCTACTGGTATTGTTTTCTTGAGTCATATAAACCAGTTTAATTGATGCAGTTCAGGGGAATTTCCTTGTTTTGAGCATATCATCACTAGGCATTAACAATAGGTTTTCAATCCATTTTCACTAAAAAAAAAATTACCAGCACACCACTTAGGAGGGTGGTGTCACACACATACAAACTCAAAAGCCAGAATGTCATGACTCAAAGAAAGCCTTAAGAAACTCTGACCAGAGATAACAGAAAAATCAAGGCTTTTCCCTTTCAGGGGTGTGTGTGTGTGGGTGTGCGTGAGTGCGTGCGTGCGTGTAAAGTGTTTATTGCAGCCCCTAAGGTGGTGTTTTTGGTTAAAATTAAGCCTTAAGGACATACTATGTAACTTTTTGTCCATAAAAGAAGAGTAATAAAATACCAAGCCTGGACTCCTTTGAATAACACGGAAATAAGTAAAAAGCCCCCTCAAACAGCAGAGCAAAGATAAGGAAGAAATCCAAAACTGCTGCAAGGTAGCCAAGGTCACTTAGAATTTCAGAGCTGGAATAATGAATCTACTCCAACTCCCTCATTTTACAGATGAGGCAACTAAGGCCCAGAAGATAAATGACTTGCCCAAGGTCACACATCAAATTCACGGCAGAGGGCAAACTAGAGAGAGCAACTGTCTGGCCCAACCCAGAGTCATTACTTTCAGGTTGAACAAGAACACTGGCTCTGGACCTATTGAGAAAGCATTTAAATAAACGGTGTGAAAAGTATCCACATCAACAGAGGAACGATTGTCTTCACCAAAGGTTTTCCTTAGTCCTTACTACATTTTTTTAAAAAAAAGGAAAACAAAGCTTCATTCATTCATTTATTCATTCAAGTCTGATGTTAAAATCCCTGAAAACACCAGCAATTATTTTAGCTACTCCTTGGGGCAGGATATCAGACCCTCAATTCTCATAAAGGCACCTATAGGTCAAAAATATCTGTACAGGACTAAGGCCAGAAGGCAGGGCTTAAAAGGGGACACCAAAACAAAACAAAAGGCCTTAGTTTCCCAAGGTTTGTTTTGTTTTGTTGTGTGTTGTTTGCTGGTGTCCTCTAGGCAATGGTATTGTCTCTGCCTATTGATGCTAATTTAGCAACCCTTACAACCCCAGTTTTTGTAGCATTCAAGTGGAAGTAATGAAACCTTGCAAAATATTCTAAGGGGGAAAATATGAATATGACTCACTTCTCTCAACTACCTGAAACTCAGCAAGAATCAGAAAGCACTCTAAGAAGTCAAACTGACATCAAGTGCCGATGCAATGGGATCCTTTTCAGCACTTCACAGCAAAGTGTCTTGGGTCCTGTCCCAGAATTTGTACTTGTGGTTTAAAGAAAGTTCTAGTAAGTTTGGTTATCTGGTTTCCTTGCCTAAGCAGTCAGAAATGAAGAATCAGAAAGAGAACAAGAAAATGCTAAAAGGAGATACACTAACACCCACATATGAATGGTAGCTATCAAAGAGAGAAAAAAACCAAGAGGGAAGAAGTGGGTTAAAAAAAACTGAAAATTCAAAGCCATAGTTGTCTGAGACCATTTAGTAAAGGCAACACAGTCCTGCCTGTTTTAAGAGCCCCTGAAGTCCACAAAGATAGCTAAGCACAAAAAGAAATGTTACATCTAGTATATCCTGATATACGTATTAAGTAACTCCACCAAAAAAAAAAAAGGCTAAAAATTAAAACATTTTACTGCTTAAATAAGGCAATTTTGGATTATGTGGAAAATTTCATTCCACAGTGATACCAGATAAACTAGATAAGCAACTTAGCAGCACTGCGACAACTGCTAGAGATGAGGCTGGGCCTAGGATGCTTTTTGCATGAATAAAGCCATGGACTTTTTACATACTTCTTGGTATATTCAAAGAAATTACTCAGTTATCAGGGGGAAAAAAATGGAAAGGGTTGCACAAGATTCTCATAGCCTATTCTCTGTAGTCTTTGCAAAAGAGGATTTAGGAGATTATTTAAATAGCTGTCTGCAACAAGATGGATTCTGCCTTTAGAGAAAAACAACAACAACAAAAAAAAACGCATTTCTTCAAGCTGAGTGCACCCCATCTACAAAAAAGTTGTTAATTGGCTTTATAGGTAATTGCTTTCATATACTCATTTACCTCAGTAACCTAAATGTACCATTTTCCCAATCTGCTATCATTAAATAAAATGCCAATAAAATTGGCAATAATGAAGGGAGCAAACTATAGAAATTATCAACAAAAAGAACTCTATCCCACTCAAACAATAAAACTGCTTCTCCCAAAAGGTTCTCAGAAAGGGTGTAAACTAATGTGACTCTGCATAAAATAGTGAGTAACTATTAACCAATTACCATCAAACGGGCATAGAAACATTTCTTTACCATTTTATACTTTAACCTCCATAGACACTTAAGGAGCATTATGGTAAAATGTAAAACTTTCCTTCCCCAGATGACCACAACTCACCTTCCTACAATTAGCAATAAACTTTTAAAATAAGAAGATATCTATCATCTGGGAAACATGACATTTTGCCTTCAAAACTTGTAATACAAACATCCCCTTTACACACCACACCCTGCCCCATAAAAACGGATTTTAAGTCTGAAATGTAGCACAGCTATTATGTGTTCAGTTGACTTGGATGTCTCAAGTATGGCTCTCCTTAAGCCAGACCATGCAACCTGTAAATCTGCACTGTTCACAGGAGGAATGGGAATAGGCAGCCTATTTAGTGGTTACAGCAATACAAATGAGCCATGTCTCTGGAAAAAGCAAGGTTATATGGCAGTGATTTATTGTCATTATCTTTGTATGCCAGGGGCAGTAAACTATTAAAAATGAGATAGACTATATCCCACAAAAGGATCCACTCCCTGGAAAATAAAGGCAACACCATGAAGGATTCCCTTTGATAATGCACTGAAAGGCACTGGACAAACGTGGAATGAGGTCTCACGCTGGGTGTACATGGCTCATCTCTCTCATTCAGCTTGCACTGAAATTCAATATTTTGAGTCTTTAAGATATGAATTAGCTAGAGAAAACCCACCCAGAACCATATCCTCATCATAATTTTACCCTAAAAGTAGACAAAAATTTTAAACCTGTGAGAATCTTTAGTCTTATTCATCAAAGATGGCTACCGGTAAGAAACAGAAATATATATTAACAACCAAGCTCTCAGGAATAGCTGATCATAACATACTAGATGTTTTCTCAAAAGCATGTGACTAAATCTAGGTACAAATATAAGCACTTAACAACTAGAAGTATTTCTATACTTTATGGCTCTTAGTAGAAAGAAACCAAGACAGGTGGCTTGGCTCCAAAGAGATACTTCTTAACAAATATTTTCCACATACTTTCCCTAGATGATTAAACATGAAAACTCCTTAAAGTAGAAAAGGAAGTAATGAGGCCAGGCACGGTGGCTCAAGCCTGTAATCCCAGCACTTCGGGAGGCCGAGGCAGGTGGATCACTTGAGGTCAGGAGTTCGAGACCAGCCTGGCCAACATGGCAAAACCCCATCTCTACTAAAAATATAAAAATTAGCCAGGCGTGGTGGCGGGCACCTGTAATCTCAGCTACCCGGGAGGCTGAGGCAGGAGAATCAGTTGAACCTGGGAGGCAGAGGTTGCAGTGAGCTGAGATTGCGCTACTGCACTCCCAGTTGGGCAACACAGAGAGACTCTGTCTCAAAAAAAAAAAAAAAAAAAAAAGGAAGAAATGAATTATATCAATGTATGATTAAGGTTTTAATCAAATCATCTGGATTTTTAAAAATCTGTTATTCTAAAACTCACTCCTATTCCTCATTCATAGTAAAATGGACCTAAAGTTAGCAATTTTTAGAAACGATGTCCTTTTAAAAAACTGCCAATAAAACTTAAATCATTAAACTTTTACAGAAGAAAATTAGGTCTTTACTGAAAGAATTTCTAAGTACTCAAGAGTACAAATCAGTTGGTAGATAAGTTATTTAAAAACAAAAGTCATGTAGCTTGGATCAACATCTGTTTAAATCACAGAAATAAGCAAACTCAGTGGTTTCCAGGATGGTCTATTTAAAAGACCTTCTGGGCAAGGCAGTAGAAGCTGTGTTCATTCCAGGTGATATGAGGAGGACTATCACACAAGTGTTTCTATAGCTAAAAGTCCTCCAAGCAAAAGTAAAAGCATCTGAAAGATAATCGTTGATTTTATTTCACACAACTCTTTAGACAATCTATTTATCATCTTGTAGACAATCAGGCCTATTTCTGCTACAGTAAAATAAAAATTCAAAAAAAATAACCAACTCTATACATGATACACAATGTCCATGGGGAAGTCCTGGTAGAGTGTGAGGGAAAAAACAAAGCTGCCCAATAGAACTGGCTGTTGCCTGTCATTTAGTAGAAGGTACCTCACCACTGAGATTGGACTCAAAAGTGCAAAAGACAAAAAATCTTAAAAATCAAACCTAGAATTCAACTTTGTATGTTGAGATTCGGTTTTATTTATGCTACCAGCTAGGTAAAAAGCATACATATTGTGTCTGTGGTACAGTCAATACATCTGCAACTTTTCTACTTAAATTCTCTATACAAAGTCACTGCCAATTGATATGATCATTGATGGCAAGGGCTTAGAATAACCAAAAGATATAAAAAAGTTTGCAGTCTTGCCCCAAGATACAAAAACTGAATTTTAAACAATATCGTAACATACATGATTTAAACATTATACGAAAAAAAGTCACATCAAATCAAGTACAAAAATATCCAAACTACCTATTATGAACTGTAATGTTTCCATTATTCTGCACAGTATTTAACATAGAATTTAGCAGTTTCCAAAATACTCATTATTTAGTTTAAGCATTGCCACCTTTGCAGAACAGTGAGACATTAGGTAGAGTGACACTGCTTTTAGTGTTTTAAAAAATACAAAACCTTTCCCTGTGAATTAATGAAGGAAAAGAAATTCCTCTTCTAGGCTTTTTAGCAACCAATCTTGTGCCTAGAAATACGGAAGAATACATCTACTATTTAAGAGGGTAAAAGTATACTTCTTGATAAACAGTCATCCATTAGGAATAACAAATGTAATTTTAAATGACTTGTTTTGTCTGGTAATTTTAAGGGATTCTCAATATACACACAGATTAGTGTTTTTTGCCTTGGCAAAAACAAAACTGAAGTTGCAAGACAATCTGAAATGATTTTCACTAATAAAACTTGCAAAAAATATTTTGGATGAAAGGTTACAATACATTATTATTTTACTTTTTAAAAACAGTAAAGTTACTCTTGGTAAAATTAACTCACCCACATGGCACATTATTTTTGAAGTAAGTAGGTTCAACAATAACAACTTGTACACAAAATAACAGGTGAATTAACTTTGAGAACTTTTCTGCCTTTAAAATCAGCAATACTGGATTTATTCTGTAGAATGATACACATGTTGATGTTCTGCAGATAAAAGGCTCTAAGACGTTTTAAAGGGCTAAATTTCTAGCACTGGAATGATTCCTTCATACATAGTGGGTGAAGAATTAATAAGAATGTGTTTCTCTTAATCTTCAAGCTCTGAGCCATGCCTGAAAAGTTCTAAATAGGAAAAAAAAAATGTTTTAATCCAGTTTCTGTCTGCTAGGAGCAAGGCAGCAAACACATTTTCAACCCTTTATGAAAAGATAAAGCAGAACAAAAGTGAAGTATATCTTCAGATTATAAACAGGATTGTATTTTATAGTCCACCATCCTGATAAGGTTAAGGGCCCCAAGACCTCAGTCTAAAGGTTGTGGGTCTGCAATCGGCATGGTGTGAAGTACTTCATCTAGGAGCTGGAGGGCACGGTGTAAGTGAATCTCAATCCAGCAAGGCGTTTCTTTGATGCTCTGTCTTGGGTAATCCGGTCCCCAGCCTTTCACGAAACTCATCCTGAGTATGCATAAACGACGAAGGTCATCAACACCGATTCCAGCGGCAGCTGACAGGCCTAACAGAAAAGATTTGGAAGACATCAGAGGGACAGGGTGATCTCTTCCCATCCTCCCTATATTCTAAATTAATAAAGTGACCAGCTTTCAATATTTCATTCTCCTCAGCATATAACTTCTCTGCTAAAGTGCCAAGAAGTAACTGTAGATCTAAACTTTATCAACACGCTGAGAACTTTTAGTTAAGGAACTTTACATTCCACATGTGTCTTCTAGCTACAACCAATTATAAAGTAAATTACCACAATCCACCAACACCTCACCTATTTTTCTCTTTAGAAGTGGAGGTGAAGGGATAAGAAACAACTTCTTTTCAAGACATAGTGTGTGTCCACATGTTGGTTCTAAAAGCCCTACTGTATAAACAGCCTAGTTCAGAATAAGACATAATAAAGGGGCAGTTAATATTCCTAGTTCCACTAAGACCTCTTAGATGACCCAGATGAAGTCTCTCTCTCAATTTCAATGTGTAACAGAGTAATACATTATTACTCAGTGGTGGCAACTGATAAGAATATGAAATTTAATAATAGTTCCGGATACTTCAGTATAAAAGCATGTTTGTAACACTGAAACTAGCAAATTAATGATTTAGATCCCCAAATTTTAAAAAATCAAATTCTCTCAATGAATATGCCTAATCTACCTCTAAATTGTAAACTCCTGAACATAAGTCACAATAGAGACTGCATCTAATTTTCCAGTGAGAGCATACAGTCATATAGTCCATCTGCATTCATCAATATTACAATGAAACTAATGGGAGGAATTTGCATGTACTGTAGAGAAACCTGCAGGGCCACTGCAGTTTTCTTAGCCAGTGTGATTTGCTTACCACACTGAAGAGGTTAAGAACAGGGGTTGAATGAATCACTAGTTATGCCTTCAGACGTGGAAGATGGGTGCCACGTGTTTCCATCATAAAAGTCTATAGTCAGGAGTTTAACTCTGCAGTAAAAAATTCCCCATCAGTGTGAAACCTGGCACACAGTTCAATTTTACCCTAAAATTAAAAAAAAGTCTACAAGTTACCAAAATACCACTCTTACTTAGTTTTCTCTCCATGTTTAGCACACTTTAAAAAAAAAAAAAACTGGAGAGGTGTCCAATTCTGAAATTGAAATATCCTTTCCTTACTAGAATAAAGCCAAGCACTTCAGTAATTACAACCCACCCCAGCTGGTGAGGCAGGAATTATAATAGGCATCAGCAAAAAAAGAGGAGATGGAATAGTATAATGTAATAATCATCCCCTTTCTCCTTTATCCCATACTCCATTTTTGATACAAAAAGAATGCCAATAGGGTCACAGGCAAAAAGCAACTATTACAGAACAGATTTTACCAATTCAAAAATGTAATCATCCCAGTCAAAAGGACTTTAATTTCTATTATTGCTCAAAGAAACTAGTCAACTGAGTAAAACAAGATAAAAATATAAACTATTTTATCTTTCTAAAAAAAATCAAAAGCATACTTACTGATAGCTGGAGCTATTCCACCTACTGATCCCGGGCCAGGGATGTTTCCTGCCACGGCTGCTGCCTGGGCGGCTGCTGCAGCTTGTGCAGTGGCCGCCTGCTGCTGCATCTGTCGATGACACTGACGCAAATCAAAGACCTTTTAAGAAAAAAATTTCATATTATGAGCCCATAAAGAAAAATTTCATACATCAAAAACCAATGCTTGACATACTTAAAACTCAGTTTCATTTTACTTCTCACACAAAAAGAAGTAATTAAAACATGTAGATTTTTATGTACATTGTGACTGGTTATAAAACTAGTTAGGAAAGGTGGCATGGAGCTCACCAAGATCATGTTAACATCACGATGGCTTTGGCTGCCACACGCCTCTGTATCTTTTAGTTTGATGTGGGTCAGCTGTTATTGTCCTTGTGAAAATCTGTGTAAAATGAACAATTAAGAAGTCCCCTTCCCCCTTTCATAACCAAATTGCCAAGTTTTCCTTAGGCTAGAGTTGATAGCTTTTGTCACCTGGCCAACTTTCTGTGTTATAATTCTTGCTTATTTGGAATTTAACAAAATGACATTGTTGCTACATGAGAGACATCAATATTTTTCAGAGATGCATACTTCAGCAAATAGAAATAAAATAATATCCAGGACTTGTTTTAAAATACTTAAGAAAACAAAAAAAAATAGACTAGATCAAGCAAATTTAAAATCATAACTACTTAATCTGTGTAATAGGTACATGGGATTTCATTACTTTCTCTCTACATTTCTTTATGTTTGAAAATGTTCATAATTTTTAAAGAAAAAAAAAGCCTAGTTTTAAATCCCAACAGTGATATCTGCTAATTATATGGGTTGAGTTTCTTTTATCTATAAAACGGGAATGCTAAGTGTACATACTTTCATGAGGTTGCTGCAAACTTGGTATAGTATAGAGTTACTTATTTTGTTTTTGGCCTACCCTGTAGTCATTTACCTTTCAGGATGAGTTAGAGAGTTAATAAATAATTTCAGTTTCATCAACCAAGTGGAAAACTGGCATAGTAAGGAAGGGGTAGCCATATCTACCCTTATGCTCATGAAAGTACTGGAAGGTTCTTTTAATAAGCAACAAATTACAGATAATAAATCATATCACCTTTTTTTTTCTGGGGGAAAAATCTTCCTAAAATATTTGCTTATTTGCATTTTTAAAAAGCACTGGAAGATTACACAAAAATCATTTGTAAGAAAGGAAGACAAAGACAGGGTAGAAGCAAGGCTGCTCAATTTTAAAACAGGCTGCTGTTTTAAAGTCACTTTAATTTCTGAACCATGTGGCTATATTCCTACTCTAAAGGGACATGGATATTTTTTAAAGTCCTATTATGTACATAAAGGACCCAATATGAGCAAGCATAATTATTCTTGAAAATAAGCTAAGTCAGAGAATACAGAATTAGTTGATGATAAACAATAGTTTTAAAACTTAAACCATATATTTTCAGATGCTTGAAAAAATTCTGATCATCTTCAACCATGGTATTTACATGAACCACAAAAACATACAATAATATATTCTCTCCAAACAGCAAATCACACTCCTACTTATTCCTATTTCTCTACTCAGTGTCCATAGCCTCAAAAAACCTTTCCCAATTAGCACCAGTGAAGGACAACACTTAGAGATATGAATTTGTCAAATATACATGTATGTATTTCCTGGACTAACTATTAGGTCCTAAAATACTTTATTAAAGAAAGCATGACAGGGGCATGGTGACAGATGCCTGTAATCCCAGCACTTTGGGAGGCCCAGGTGGGAGGATCACTTGAGTCCAGGAGTTCAAGACCAGTTACAACCCCACCTCCACGAAAAAATTTTAAATTTAAATGAAAGAAAGCATGACAAAGTCAGGATCTAGAAATCAAAAAGCCTACACTACCCAAAACTGAAACCACTACTTTCTCAAATTTCTCAATAGTCCATTTATTTCAAAACTTCTGGGCTATGACATTTGGAAGGCATTACCCAGCACAGAACAAAGCAAAGACTCAAAACATTTGAAATGGTGAATAGCTCTACAACCTAAGGAAGGAAATTAATGAACTTCATTTTTTTACAGCAGTTTTAGGTTCACAGCACAGTTAAGCAGAAAGTACAGAGTCCCTGTCCCCACACACAACCTTCCCCCACTATCAACATCCTCACTACCATGGCACACTTGTTACAATCAATGAATTTACAGTGACATATAATTATCACCCAAAATCCAGTTTACATAAAGGTTCACTCTCGGTGTTATACATGCTATGGCTCTGTACACATTTATGATGCTGAACATCTTTTCATATGCTTGTCTGCCATCTGTATATCTTCTGTGAAGTGTCTGTTTACATCTTTTGCCCATTTATTTATTGTTTTTTGTTAAGATGGGGTCTTGCTTTGTTGCCCAAGCTGGTCTTGAACACCTGGGCTGACGGGTCCTCCCAGATCAGCCTACCAACTAGGTGGGACTACAGGCACATGCCACCATGCCTGGCTTTTTTTTTTTTTTTTGGAAAGGTGAGGTCTTGTTCTGTTGCCCAGGCTGGTCTTGAACTCCTGGGCTCAAGCAATCCTCTGGCCTTGACCTCCCAGAGTGCTGGGATTATAGGAGTTAATCACTATGCCCAGTCTATTTTGCCCATTTTTTAACTGTGCTGTTTATTTTATTGTTGAGTTTTAGGAGTTATTTGTAATTTTGGATAACAATCCTTTATTAGATGTGTCTTGCAAATATTTTCACCCAGTCTGTGGTTTGTCTTCTCGTTCTCTAAGCCTGTCTTTCACAGAGCAGAAATGTCTCATTTCAATGAAGTCTGGCCTATCAGGTCTTTCCCCTTCATGGATCATGTCTTTGACGTTGTATCTTAAAAGTTCTCACTTTTTCTCTTATATTATCTTGTAGAAGTTTTATGGTTTTATGTTTTACATTTAGGTCTCTACAACCATTTTTTTTTTAACCATCACTAACCAAGTATGGTATGTACATAATCTTCTTATCTAGAAGTAGGGAATAAAACTTAATTATAATCTCCAAGATTCAAGCATGCCTTTAACATTAACACTTCCCCACCCCATGAGTCATTTAAAAAA